ATCTGTCACCTCATCTATCACCGATCTCCAATTTTCACTTTCCTCAACTCTTTCCTATGTTATCGTTTCCTTCTTAACATTACTGAATTATTATTATTATTATTATTATTATTATTATTATTATTACTATTACTATTATTATTATGGTCTGTTTATTTTATTAGAATGAAAGACTCAGGCATGATACCAAAGATATTAATTAATAAAGTAGAAACTGTTGATCATTGTGATGATGGTTATCATATTAGAGGCGCACAACATGCTATTCACTATCGATAAGCGGACGCGGTCCGGTACGGAAATAAATAAAATTAAAGAGAAGCGGCTAAAGTCGAGCGAACTAGTGGCTCTGACGATGGTGGCGACACGGTCGGAGAGAGAAAGAAGCGCGCGACGGTTAACGTGACTTAAGCGTTAAAGTAAGTTGAAAGAGGGACAAACCTTTTAAAAGAGAGATATAATAGTTTCCGGGGTACACACCAGATAAGTTAGTCAAGCGATAAGCGATGTGACGTTCTTAAATAATCATGTTGATCGAGACACTGATCGAGGGACGATTCTAATTGGAGGTTGAAGAGGGAGAGAGATAGAGAGAGTGACGATCGAAAGACGACGATAAATAATAATTAAAAGTTTGCCACGGAAGCGACGAACGAAGTTATCAGCGAGTCGTTTACGTGGATCGACTTTTTCGACGGAGATTATTATTATTATTATTATTTAATTAAAAAATAATCCACATTATTCTCGCACGAAGCGCGTTGTGCTCGAGAAACGTACGACCCGAGCGGTCTCGAGCGGCGAAACTCTTTGCGTTGTCTGTCTGTAAATTTAAGGATAGATTTTTAAGCGGTTCCATTTAAAATTATTAATCAGACGTTACGGGCGATCAATTAAAGAGGAGGATGGCTCCGTGGTTACTCTTTCGAGCTCGAAATAGTTCACGTGCGAACTCGGTCGTCTTATCTTCCCTGTCTCTGTCTCTGTTCCTCTTCTTTGGTCTGTCTCTCGTTTCTTTCCGTACCTTCCAATTGTTTTTGTCCCCCCCCCTCCGTCCCCTCTCGCCCTTCCCCTCTTCTCCTTTTTGCTCCTCGTTCCCATTACGATCCCGTTGCACCTTACTTGGTCTTTGTCTTTGTTCTTTTTCTTGACGTTTAAATCCGCACGATCGTTATCGGATATCGGCCGCGAGATGAGAAATGAAAAATAAAAAGTAATTGGGCGACGAGGCGGGAGAGCTTAGACGTAATTAGAGAGGTATTAATTAGTACGTTACACACGTGAATATAAATATATATATACATATTATAATGTACGATACATACAGAAGAAGAAAAATGTGGCAACTCTCTGCGAAAGATGAAAATGGAAATGAAAAAGGCAAAAAAAGAGAGAGAGAGAGAGAGAGAGATCGCGCGACGTGAAAAGGTTGATACACCGACGCGTATATACATACATATGTATATATATATAGAGAACGCTTGAAACGTAAATTGTAATGATATATTATAACTTTTTATAAATATATTTTTCCGTCGGAGTCTAGCCTAGGTAGAAGACGATTGTATCCAGTTACGATTATTGATTTATCGGATTCAATACTGAAAAACACGTGGTGGGACAATTACACGCGGAATTCACATAATGCGAACACATGGCGAGATACACAGTCACTCCTGACAGACACTTATATATATATATATATATATATATATTATTTATGTTATACATATATATATTATTTATATATATATATATATATTATACATATATACATAGTATATTGTACCATTCGAGGTCTAGGCATTAAAAAAATTTCATCAACCTTTTAGGACATGAAATAGTTTTTAAAGGAGAAACGATAAATAATGATAAGGTAAAGTTGAAAATTTAATGAGACACGGGAGGGGGGAGTGTGTCGTACGAATTGCGTATTACGAGTGACACCCTTTGGATGCGATGATTTTATTACCTAACGTTGAGCGTGGAGAGGTGAAAAAAGAAAGAGATGCGATTGACGAAGGAAGTGAAGAGTCATGTATGCGAGAGAGAGAGAGAGAGAGAGAGAGAGAGAGAGAGAGAGAGAGAGAGAGAGAGAGAGAGAGGGAGCGTCGAAGTTTAAGATTGCGTCTGTGAGATCCGAGGTCGAGAATCTCCA